AATGGACGAGCGGCGGAGGACACCCCGACACCGACGTGATTGGGTGCTTCAGGTGCGATGGGAGATTGATACGAGAAGCTGTTGAGATTGATTTCCGTGTCGGAAAACGGCTGGCGGGGCCGAGATCCCTTAAGGATCCCGTGGACCTCCCGCGACGCGTTCTATGACCACACCGCAAGTTTCCTTTCATCTCGGACGAAAATAAGTCCGAGAAAGAGGACCGCTTCCCGTGGGAAATGTAGTCATCTGCGCCGAGAAATTTCGAGATACCCGAGGGTAGTTTTCTACGGTATTTCGCGAATCTCCAAGGAAACCCGGAATCGTCGCGTGTCGCAGCATTTCAGAAAGGGAAGTGAGATAGAAGTGCCGTGATGCACAGATTGTTCCGCTAGATACATGCATTAATCCTTAAACACTTGAAACTTTATTTTATAAAAATGTAATTATGTAATAATTATTCGGAAGAATACATGCATATGTATGTATATTGTATATAAGAAAATCGTGTTAACTAATAAATAGATTTTATTTGTTTAATTTGGAAATTTGAAAAAAAAATCGTATCAACTTTACAGTAATCATTTAGGAAAAAATACATTTTTTAATATAAATATACATATATATTTATGTTAAAATCGCGTGTTAAAAGCTTATCTCAAAGAATAGATTTTATTCATTTAACTTGGAAGTTTAAGAAGATCGCGTGAGCGAAACGTAAAGTAAAAATACATGTATATTAGAATCCATATATAGAAAGCACATATATAAAACAAGATATTCTATTGAGAGTCGTATTTAAGAATTAATGCAAAAAAAGCTTTTTTCCATAAACATTCTATTTCTCTCTCGATAAAGTTAATTTTTCGCGACGAAGTTTATTTCTGTTATACACAATAATATCCTGCATGATAACATTACATTGGTTAATAGTGTTAGTACAGATATCCGTACAGTAGCAGTTATATTCGCGCGGAAAGACTTACTAAATCTGATATTTGTAGCTTTTGCATTCAAGACTAACGAATATACGGGACTAACGAATATACGGGTCACGAGCATACGGCAAACGAGCGAACGATTATTGGCATGCAATGTGGTCCGTTCCCAAACTGCTGATCGATGAGTGCGCATTGTTGTTATTATTAGTGTTTACCAATTAGTCTGTATGCAATTATAATTGGTAATTGCAGGTACTTGCGGATCGCATTCGATCGCTCCGCACCCTCCCTTCGGCGTCGTTCATCTGCGAGATATCGCTCTACCGAGACACCCCTGTGTGTTGCATTAATTTTAAACTACATCATTGACTATGCCGAAACGGAAGTATTCGCATTTTCATAAATTCGCGTATGTACATGCGGTTTGTCATCAGTTGAGATTTTGCCGGTTAGAACCTGAGGAGAATAAAAATTAAAAGATTAGGGATAAATTTCAAATCCCCGAAGTTTGATAAAACTGACGTTAAGTAACAAGGGAGGTGAGTAATATACATATTTAAAAAGCCGGTCCTCGATTTCAAAGAAGGATAAGCAATTCAATTATACAGACTGTGTACACAGTGAATATCCGTCAACTTATTTTAATTCATTTTTTATCTTCACACAAAGTAGAGTGATGAAGAGGAAGTTGAGTAATTTTTCAGAGATGATAGAAAAGGGCTTTCTCCCCGAGCGAAACAGAGCGTCCAACATAAAGTTTCGTGTTCGTTTCATCCCGGAAGGGGTTTGCGCGTTACAAACGAGAGAAATCGCTGCGACGTGAAAATATATACATCTGATTCGCGCGCGCGCAGCCGGGATAAAGAATAGACTCGGTTTCTTCGTCGATCGTCTCCCCGCGCCGGGGCAGATCCGATATAACGATAGCGACAAGTTAAAGAGGATGCCGAAAGGATATCGGGGTCGCGCCGTCGATTGAGCACGAAGGTTACGAGAAAGGTTAGGCAACTCCGACCCGGAAAACTGATTCCCGGCCCGGTAATCTACAGTTCGGTCGAGTTGGAAAAGTGGACTCTCATAGATTTTTCTTGCAAATAGATTTTTCTTCGGGACGATTCGCGCGGGGAAGCGCGCGAGGATCGATAGCCGCGAGGAAAGGGATGCGGATGAGATCAGCGCGAGGACACGAAAGAGGGAGAAAGAAGGAACGAACAGATTTGACGTATTTGACGTTATTGAAACAAAACTTCTTTATAGATTTATCTCTTAGGACCACTTTTGCCAACGTCTGTTGGCTCTAACCGACCGTTAACTTTTCAGAATAGCCCGTGGAAGTTGGCTATTCTGAAAAGTTATCAGTCGGTTGGAGTTAACGGACGTTAGAGAAAGTGGTCCTTATAGAAAGAGTCGGCTCTCGTCGAACATAAATCATGTAGAAAATATAGGTAGACGACCCGAAACTCCCGAGCTCGCTTCGATGTCCCCGATGATGATCTAACACTTTTATTTAATTGAGATTAATTGAGATTAATCTTGAAATATTCGCAACGTAAAAAAATTTGACTGTCGAGTCGGATAAAAGCTCGTGCTATCTTTTTTTCCTTCCCTTTAATTTCATAAGAAGTTATTCGTCGTAAAGTTACGTATCTTCGACATACGTCCCGCTGGTCCGTTTGAAGCAAGACATGCCGTCAATCCGAGCGAGCTGGCCTTCGGGAATCGATATCCATCGCCCGATCCCGTCGCCGTCGTGCACAACGTGAAAGGCAAAGTAGATATGCAAGCGGCTGCGTCGTATCTCCATTCATCTGCATACGAGCCGAAGTCCTCCACGGAGGCCAATAGACCGAGTCCTCGGAATCCCCGCAGAATCGACTCGCGGAACTCTCCCGCCCCCGCTCCTTTGACATCGGAATTATTGTGTTCTGATGACGCTCTTCCGGTGTGAACCGGTAGAATTTGAGTTTTATTGCCTTCCGAGTTGCCTTCGTTTTACAACTTAGCGAAATTCTTCTCTCTCTAAAGTATTCTTATTTTTTTTTTTTTACGGTATTGTATACACAGATTCCGCGCCGGTCGTTCGAGAATCTTAACGTTCTTCGGATTCCTCGTATCCTACAAATCAAATACCGTAGCGCTTTTTTGGCGCGGATCGTAGAATCTTTGCGTCTCGGATAATCGATTCCTTAACTTCTGTAGATCCTTCAAACCTTGGAAAGTTATATTTTCAAAATTTCACATAGACAATTCAAGAAACATTCATAGAGCCCCATATTCTGTAAATTCTACACGTTCTAAAAATCGAGTATATCAATGAGGGAATCGTCTATGTGCGCGCGCGCGGAGGATTTCCTAGGAAATCTTGCAATGAGAGGTTACACGCTTCTCGCTCCTTTGACACCGAAGTTACCCTATATCCTTGAGCTTTACTGTCGGTGCAGCGAAGGATATTCACGGGTGAGCTTATCCCTTTCTGCAGTACTCCCTGGGCCTCGTCCTTTCTTGGAGAGGGTCAAAGGCGGACCGAGGGGTTAACGTACTCTGTGCACCAAGAGCATCCCTATGGAGACACAGACGTTAACCTTTGCTGAATCCTCCCCCCATGCGCCCGCCGTCACTCTCCTTTGAGCACGCGATTATTCTACAATTGGCCACGACGCGAAATCTCCGTTTGGCTTTGCCCTGCAAACATTATCCCATAGAGCCTGTGCTGCGGACCGCGTTACGTTATACTTCTGACAATAGATTGGAACGGGTGTTTGGAGGAAACGTAATGGGGTACGTGTAACGAGGGCCGATAATGTTGTCACACTTGCGAATGCGATAGAAATGGGGACTTCGATGTGTGAATAGACAGATAAACTAATGGTATTACGTATAACTAACGGTCAGTCATGACGATTTAAAAGTACGCTTCCTTCGTTCGACGAACCAATTGCTTCCACAATTGTAGGACGGCTATTAATTTTATTTAAATCCATAAGAATTTTAGAGCTGAGTTTTTTCACGCGAATAAAATTTCGTTCGTCATAGAGCGAAAGAGTAAAGGTCGTCGCGCGGAATGTTAACTTCCATCCGTGTCGCCGAGCGAGAAAAAGGCCGTCGCGTCGCGGGAATCCAATTAATCGATATTCGTCCACGTTAAAATGCGGAAACGATTGCCGTGTGCGCGCTTTCGGCCGAATTTTTTTTTCACAATTCCCCCCGCGTGGAACGCGCGGCACGCTTGACGCCCCCGCCACAAAGACGGAGTAATCGATATTGCGGATTTTCAAAAGCCCCGGGATGCCGAAGGAGAGAAATGAGAAGGGGTGCCGCATGTCGATCTACCTGGGATTTAAGTATCTCAAGAACGCGGGAGCCGGGGCACTTATGTAGATACAGAACGTGGCATCATCAATATGCGTGCAAGCCGTTAAATTATTCCACCGTGGATTCGGCATATAACAACTTCCGCCGTGGATTCAGAGAGACGGCGGAATCAATATGCGGGGCACGAAGCCTTGATCGTTCGGCGATCACAAGGGAATCGTAAAAACGATAAGAAATATTCTGTCAAATAAAAGATGTACGTGTAATCTGGATATATGCGTTTTTAACAGTTTTAATTCGTAAACTTAGAAGTATATATTGTGTATATCAATATTATTTTTAGATATTGCATGATATAGAGCAATTTTTGCACTTTTTCCCCTCTACATTTTATAATAGTAGAATATAAATATTCTCGGATTTTGGGAATGAATAAATATTTAATCTTTTCGGAGAATTTTTAAAATTGAAAAAGTAATTCAATTTTTTGTTTTGTTATGTTTTATTCAATTGAAATTCATAGCACAATTAAATAAAACTTTTTAAAATTACAACTACTGTGGCGAATGTTATTTGCTTTTTTCTTTGTCAGCAATATTGACAGCAATATAAATTAAATATTAAAATTAAAAATAACATAAAAATAAATGCATATATTCCAGTGTATTGGAAAAGTTGAATAATGGGGTGAAAAACATTTAAATATATTTATTTCAATATTAATTTATTCATTAATACGAATAATGGCACAAAAATAGAATAACACATTCATACACGGCGCATATATAACAAACCGTGCGGACAAACCAAGCAAACAATCAAACGGGCGATACTATTGTTACGTAAGGCGCTTTACATGATCCGTCTTCCTTCGAGAAGTCTTGATAAAGCCGAGGAACTGCAGGGCGGCGACCGCTTGAGTAAACCGAGCTCTGAATCCCCGTTAAGGATAAGTTACTACATGATGAAATGCGAGATAACACGTGCGAATTATTCAAACTAGAGAGGGTATCTAGTTCGCGGAAGTTACGTCTACGCGGGAGTACGATCCGCGCGTTAGGAGGCGTGATATGAATTTCAAAGGCACGGGCGCCAGGTAAGACAAATCTCAACGAGTTGGATCCAACCGATCACGTTGGATACGCGAAGGGTGCGCGTTCGCGCGAAAACTTTCGTTATTTGTAAAGGATACTGCAATTGCGGATCCACGTCGCGTTGCTCCATAGATTGAGCCTGCGGATCGACGATCGTCAGGAACGCCTGCAAGCAAAGTCAATCAAGTGCGTCTCCTTGGGTTTTCAGGTGCAATTCGTAACGTTTAAAAATTAATATATCTAACAATGAAAATGTAGCATAATTTAGAAACTTGAAAATATCTCGATAAATATCTTAAAAAAAAAAAAAAATCAAGCTTAAGAACCTAAAAAACGCAAGCGTTAGGATCTCATCAGAGAGAATTTTATAAAGTTCCTCCGAGGTTTTATTAAAAAATTTTAAATTCTTGCTATATTAAGCGTCCAGTAATATATCCTGTGATCTCCGATCGGCGTCGTTGAACCGCTTGGCGGAGGGCACGTTTTCGCCGGTGCAATTTTCATGAGAAGCGTTTTACCGGCTTTCTAACAACCGGCCGGCGATAAAGCACTCGGCACCCCTTGTGCGCGCGCCTTGCTTACAATGACGTGCTCGCGTGAATCACTCGCGGTGGCAGCGGCGGCGGCGGCGGCGGCGATTAAAATCACGAGACGGTCGGCCGGGTGCGTGACCGTAAATGTAACAGGGATTAACCTGTAAACATGAGCACAGGCCGGATTGTTACCTGCAGCCAGTCGTACATATTGATCAGCTTCCTGGACTCCAAGTGCAGCTTATAAATTATACTCAGATCGGGGAGCGTGTGCGGAATGTCGTCGTCATTCTCCAATTTGCAGCAGTCGCACTGAAATATACGTCTCCAATTAACCGCGCCGGGAAGTCTATCGAAAGGTCGAATAAACTTGATCGCCGATGAATCGTACATAAAAGAAAAGTTTAAAATCTTGAGAGAGATGATGGCGGCGCAGGATATTTACGATGATATTTAAAAATGGAGAGATCTGACAATGAGAAGCTAAAGATAGAAAAAAAGACTAAAGAAAGAATAATTTGATTTCGTAACACACATCGTAAATCGTAATTCAAGACGCAAAAAGTTTTTATAATATTTAATATTAATCTGACACCTATAAGGTGGCACAACGTCCTATCCGTTTATATTATTTAAAAGTTTACTTTCGCAATTCCAAATTTGCCGCGCGAACGATCTTTCACTCACATCCAAATACATCTGCGGATCGCTCAATCCCGTGTGTATGGCGGCCCGCAAAGAGCCGCGAATATGATGCTTCGCCTGGTTCCCGTCGCTGTAGCAAAATATCTCGTGGGCCGTCACGCGACTCGGATCGATTAGATGAACGGAGAATATTTTTCGGTCCAGGTAATCGATCAGGTCAAGCTGCGCTTGCTTGTAAACGGAACGCGACTGTTGCTGACTCATTTTGAGCAATTTCTGAAAAGAGGATAACAATGGTAGTTGCACCACTAATCATTGCGTCCTACCGTTTTCAATCTTCATTTCTGAACCGCGAAAATCCAATCGCACTGCTCGATTGCGGCGGTATACATATTTAGAAAGAGAAAGAAAGAGATTTTACCTTTTCGTGACTTCGCGTAAAACGATAAAATCTTGTTAATCATATATAAAGAACGAAAAATCATTTCATGCGTTATCAGATCTTATCATGTCGGATTTGATTTGAAGCATCGTTTTAATTTGCAGTATGAGATAGTATAAATAACGTAAAGTTGAAAATATTGTATTTGTCTGAATGCGTAAAGGGTTAATAAGAAAGACAGTTAAGAAAGCACGATTTGGCACACACCTCCTTTAGTTGCATACGACTAAGTTTCTCTTCCACACTGATGACTTCGGAAGAAGTCGTGGTACTTAAACTAGCTTCTCGAATTGTCTTGATGTGATTGTCGAGGTTGATCTTAATTTCCTTGATTTCCGGATCTTTGGATTCCTCGACAATTTTTACGACAGATTCGAGTTTCGAAAGGAGTTCCTCCTTCGATAAAAATCCCAGTAATTTCAGACATTCTTTGTATTCGGTGGACTCCGTGAGATCATTCGTGTAAACCGCCTTGGTATAAACCTCCCGTAACTGAAACGATTGTCGCATTGTTCCACGATTCCAATTTTTAGCTCGCCGTTATTGCTTTCTTGCTTATTGCGAAATACAGTATATATTTGGCGAATAAAACGCCATATTACCTGTTTACCCATTGGCGAGCCTGGCAGTGAAGCAATTAGGCAGTGCAAACATCTCAAAATAATCAAAAATTGATCCATAAATTTGTGGAATTTATTTAACAACTGTTCCAACAGTTCCTACAAAAAGCGGAGCTTGAAAAGATAATTTAAAAACGTATAAGATTATAAAAAATTATATACATCAGTAACAGTTTCATTCAGGAAGAGAGACACATTTAAGAGTCACAGAAGTATCTTATAAAAGTTTTATTTCCATTAAAAATTTTCCATCTTTCTATTTCCAATATTAAACAGCTTAATGGGCTGTTATATTAAAATTTCTCAATAGCGTAAATTGAATTTTATAATAGTTAAAAGATATCCTCTCGTTATTGATAGCTATATAATTTTTGCAATCTTTTTTGATTCTCGTAAATAAACTATGCGAACCATGAATTCTTTATCGCTGAGCTCTTCCTCTCCACTCACTATTTCGTTGGACGCTTTCAAATATTTAGCGATAGACGGTAAGCTTTTAATGTCCGCGATATTTTCAGCAGTGAGTTTAGATAGTCTCTTCTTAATGTCTTTCGGTTGACAACAGAGAGAGGTTACATTGTTCTCGTAAAAATGTTGTATCATGCATATCTAAAAATTACCGTATAGCTTATAATTATCAGCCGATTGTCAACTCATTCATTAGGTTTCGTTGACTGTTACCTTGTAATTTTGTAGGAAGTTATCTACCGAAAAATCGTAAAACAGAAAAATATCAGTCAGCAATTGAAACGCGCGACCGATTAATTTAAATGGAATCTTTGTAGAGAAAACAGTGTTTTCCAATACATCGGATAGTGTTTTTACTTGGGTTTGCGTATAGAATACCTAAACAAAATGGAACGGCGAATTATTTAAAGTCAGACAAACATTTGCGCTGGACGGAATGTTTTTGTTTAACTTGCCTGCACTACTAATTTCGACGTGACGTCATAGGTCAATGATTTATGTACGACATGCAACGTAGTCGCAACACCGAAAATAAGTACGAACTTCAATGAAGCTCTATATGAACTGAAAATTATTTATGCAATATTTTTTAAGGTTAATGTAATTTTTTTCACATATTGTTCATGCATTAAAATATCGTTAAGAATACCTCAACACCATGATAAAGTCGTGTAATACATTGGTGGGGAAACTTTCAAAATCCGGCAAGATTATAACTAAAGGATCCTCCGGATCGTGATGTTCTGCAAACAATTGTTTCAAGACGCGCATAGTGCATTGACTTTTACGCACTTCGACAACATCATCCTACGAACGAACGATAATTTATTTAAATATTGCGACAGATATTGCTTCCTGTACACTGCTATTACCGCAAAACTAACCGATTCTGATTTATAAATTGTAGTCCGATGAATAAATTGATACACAGTGTCTTCGATTATGCTTTTCAGGTTGTTACAATTTCTGCTCCAAACGACTGCTAAGTGTGACGTTATTTTATCAACCTTGGACACTATCGTGTCGAAAAGTGTCGTATGATCGGGGACATTCACTCCTATAATTTTAATTCATTTAAATATTAATTTACCGGAAACTATTGAAGAAAAATTCCTCAATAGACAAGAACATTGGAGGAAAAATGCCCTTGATAGACAAAAATTATTTCAAGACACTTTTAATCGATTTCGGTTATCTAAATTTCCGGAAAACAATATAAATCTTTTACAGAAATATGTAGCGTTTATTTTCACCTGTCAGCAAAATAGCCGTGGCTATTTCATTGGACAATACATTCAATGGGGTCGCTTTTATTTTCGACACGAAAGACTCCAAATTGGATATAACTTGTTGGAACATTTTCGACCTGACATTCTGAAATATTAATGTATTCTGTTAGAGATTCTGCCTTTTGATTGAGATTTATGGCCAGCTAACACACGGTAGTTGTACCTCCGCAGCCTGCTCGATATATCCCCACGTTTCGTTATACGCGATATACCAGGGTTCATTAAGATACGCTGGGGATTTAACTTTCTTTCTCTTCTTTCCAATTTTGTAACTTCCTTTATAAGAAAATACTCCCTAAAAAAAAATCGCAATCAATATTACATTTTAATTGGCCACACCGATTTTCTGTCACGTCAATTAAACTGGCGATATTATTGCCCATTTTAAAACTCACTGCGACTAAACTGCATTAATACTAATTATAAAAATTATTATGCATCGAATTATATGACTAAAGAAAATCGAAAACTATTCTCATGTATTTCATATCTATTAATCTTCCCCTCAACTGCCATCAATTTTATTGAGTTTCAGTAGATATGCGATCTTCAAAAAATTAAATATTTAAAATTAAAATGCCAACATCTCAGAAGAGTCATAAACAAAAAATTTATAACATTAATCAAAGACAAAAGTAACATTGTACATACAAAAAAGAAGCGACAACTCGAGCGACAAGTATTCTTCGCGAAACTTTTTAAGACGTGCCAAAAAGCGACGGCCTATGAATCATTATTCGGCATTTCCGCGCGCTAACTTTGCACTTTGAGGTTAAGCCGGCGATAGCAACAGGTTGTGCACGTGTCGTATCGCTTACCTTGGACAGAGAAACGTTCTCCATTTCTGCGACCGGCGTCAACGAGATGCCAGGTATATATCCGTCTTAAGTGCACGCCTCTACTACGCAGATAAGAGAAACGGGAGTTATTCGCAGCGCGGAAACACGCGGCGCGAACACGCGCGAGCAACCGGTTGCGTGGCCGAACGCAACTGAACGCTAGAACGCTACCGAACACGGCAGCTGTCAGCTGGCACGGAAATAATCTTGTGCCGCTAGCTGGCGCCATGTACCGAGATGATATCTGCTTAGAGCCTGCTATGCCTGGCAGACGTCCGATCTTCGCACAGTCGTTTAGGCTCGCATGTACAAATATAACAGTGTATGGGTTCATGCACAATGAGAAGATCAAGGAATTAAACAGAGAGAATTCATAGTCACATTTTTTTTTCAAGACGCGGAATTCTCTCTATGTTTAATTCATTGTTCTTATTCCTCTCATTGTGCATAAGCCCTATACTTTTGTAATTACGTAGTATACGGAACTTAAACACACACGTCATATGCATACGTTTTTGTGAGAAATAGTGAGATAAACATTTGAGGAAAAATGAAAGAAAAATATAAATTAATTTAAGAATGTGCGTGATATGGGCAACAGCGAGAGCTAAAGCTTATTTTTTATTTATATCCGTTAATTAATTTAATTATTCAGAATTTATTGTTCAAAAACGCCTCCTGCAGTTATAAATTTGTAGAGACGAATTAATTCGTCTTGTCCACAGCAAGTGCCTCGATTTATTTCTAAAATGAATATAATAGTTAAGACATAGATTTTTGAGTAAATAATTTATTTATAAAAATATTACGATTAAAAATACGAATCTTATAATCTTTAAGTTTTTATGACAAATTAACTGGTTTTATAAAAATCTTTTCAAATAATGTTAATTCGTTTTCTCTTAATAATTAACAGATTTAAAAAATAACTGGCTATACTATCGTTGATACTATCTGACTCTGTTTAATTTTTATCGCGCGGTTTGCGGAAAAATCTCAATCTATTCTACGAATACATTTTATTTATATCGCGGTATACATAGCTCCTACATAATAGAGATGTTCTGTCCCAAACAAAAATTATAATGACCAGAAATAGTATCGTCCTATTTGAGTTGTAATTCATACATTTTTTATGAACGTAGTAGACTCATTTCGAGAATTGAGAAATAATTTAGAAATCCGAGAAATTAAAAGGATAAATCAATAATCGTGTAGGAATAATTTAAACCTGTAAACCGTTATCGATTTCTTTTAATTCCACACATTTATTACGTCGTTCGTTAACTTGTTCATCCACGCGAATTTTTTAGCTTACAATTTTAATTGTATTTTGCGTTCCATTCACTACGATCTATCACTGTTATTTTTATATGCCTGAATAAAAATGCTTTCCTCCAAAATACGGCAAAATTATCATTTCTCTGTCGCAGTTCTGAATAAACATTCGATAAAGCAACGCGTAGTTCGTCCTCATCAGATGCAACCGACGTATGCATGTTCGAAAGTCGGATTTCGGCTACGTCGAAAGGGAACAGAGGAGACGAGTAGAGATGTCAGGATGAAGGCAGGGAGGGTTGGGGGATATAAATCGATGCGCAAGCAGCTTTGCGCGAGTTGTTCTCGTTTTGCGGTCGGCCGTAGCACCTGTGCCCCGCATCGCCCGCCATCGCGAGCGGCGCGACGGCGGGGTCCGCGGGGCGGGGGAGGGCAGAAAATAAATGCGAATCGATCGGCAGCTTAATCATTCGGGCAGCCCCCCTCCCTACCTCACCGCGTCCCCCTCGTTGAAAGAGCGGAAAGGCTCGGCTGCTGGGACAAAATGCTCGCGAGTCCCGAACCCGAAGCCAGAGATATTGCCCTCTGAAAGGCATACATGCGTCCTCCCGCGACTCGATCACGGCCGCATAAAGCACTCTCCGGCGCAACAAGAAAAATGCGCCGGGAGAGACGCGCTATAAAAATCCAGTCGGCGCGAATAAAGCTCTATTCGTTCGATCCGCGATAATACGATCACTGCTCCTAACCAGTTTCCGTACGTGCCTCGCATTTCTATGCCGACTTACAGTGGGTTATCGGCGATTCGCAAAAATTCTGCTTTCGTATGAGATTCCGCACATATTCCAACAGATGAGTTTAGCGATTTTCGTTGCACACTAAATTATTCGAGATAGCAATAAATACAAAATGTTTATGATAAACCCCTAAGTTAACAGAGAATAAAAAGCCTGTAATAATAAAATAAAAACAATCATCTTTCAAAGTGTCTTTCCTTAAGTTGCTGACTTTTCTGAATTTAATTTTCTCTTTAAAAAATTTGGACATTTGAAATAACTGCAGGGGACAGAACGAGTTTACGTTCTCACGCGTGGTGTTTCATAATACATCGAAGCTACAACGCTTTGTATATGTATATGCGGTTCGTGTATCCCCTTCCGAAGCTTCTCACCTAACGGAAGAATGATCAAGCATGCAACCAATGCATTCGGCGGTGATTGACGAGGCGTCACGGAGATATAAAACGTGTTATATGGCGTGGCACGATACGCCGTTCTAGGGCGGGGAATATCTTCGACATGTATGAACAAGATAAGCCAGAAGTCGTTTGAAAAAGTAGCATATCGAAATAAATTTATCTTAATAAGGTGCTGCTGTGACTCTTCCAAAGGAGAATCGTTATACATAATTTATTCGTTTTCAATATATAAGTATATAGTTTATTATCGGGATATATATAGTCTCTCTTTCTCTGAGAAAAATATTCCGTTTCCGATCTGATTGACGGATCAGCTTGTGTATCGCGTAACTGCATGTCAATTGCTGTATATCGTGAAGAGCGAAACATATACTATAAAAGCCAACTGGCTTTGACTTTTACGCCTCGAATCGCAGCCATCAAATGTTACTTCACGGCAACGCGATGAGCGACTTCTCCCGACTTGTCGTAATCGTCTGGTTCTAGCGATATAGTATATCGCGGGAGATCATAAACTTTACGATTACCATACTGCGCAGAATTTTTATTGCGCTCTACGCGCGAATCGACGGAGTTCCTCGCGTGCGAATTACCGCCGACGTATAGTTACACACGTTAAAAAGAGAGTACTTTTCCGTCTGCGCGCGAACGACAAAACTGTTCACGCGCGGTCGTTAAAAATTGGAGAAGATAAAAGAGGGCGCGAGAAGATGCGGGAGGTTCCAAAGGAATTAAAAGTGTCCAAGTATAGCCGCGGACAGTTCCTCGATTCGGAAGCGGAATGTTCGTCAGACATTAGCGCGAAAGACATTTCCAAGTCGCGAACGAAACGTCTCACTTTGTCGCGCAATTCCGTAGGGGGGTGACTCGCGGACGAGGGAGGATTATTTTTCGTCGTTAAAGGACGCCACACCTGAATCGTCGTTGGCGCTGTCGGGAGAACGAGGTTTTACAACGTCAGCCGCTTTCTTGTTCTGGAAAGTTTCGCGGGTAAAACGGCCGGTGGTTTACGAAACGGGGACTCAATTCCTAGCGTTCGTAATGAGCGTCATTGGCGCGGTACTACCCGCCCGGCCTGCTTTCTTCCTCGCGGAGATTGGACTTTCCGAGCTTGCGAGGAACGGTCGCCCTGTGTCGTGAGCAGGGCTGTTCTTGGAAACTACAATGCCCGTTGCCGCGATATTCGATAGGTCGCACTCGAGGGAGGCGTGCACATTCTCATGCTAAGATTAGAGCAAGATAGGGCAGAATAATTTCCGTTCGTTCGTGCACTGAAGCGCAATTTTGATTTTGTTCGGAAAAAACGCGAAAATTTAGAACGGGATGATTTATTTAATTGGCACATCAATAAGATGCAAATAAAACTGTATCTACGGATGTTTAATATTTCTGATTATGTTTTTTGAAACCTTTCTGAGATTTAAAAATAAAAACATGTAATATCTCTCGTCTTTCTAGCTTTTTCTCTATCGTAGTTTCTCTACGAAAGATTAAGATCTACACAAAACAAATCCTGAAAGAAAATTGCTTTCTGGATTCTTACAAACTAAAAAATTTATAAAATGCATTGCAAAAAAATATGAAAAGTAAGAAAAATGAGAGAATTAAAAATGTAAGAATCTAAAAGAAAACATTCTACTTCAGTTAAAAATTCGATTAAGCTTTTATTATAACTGTGACTTTCACGTGACATCAAATAACAATAGCGGGGATGTGTCTCTGTCCCCCCGTTCGCTACTATCCGTATGAGAGGAAAAAAACCTCAAGATTACGAGGACGTTCCCCGGTAACGGGATAATAAAGCGACGAGCATTGTAGCTTCGCCGTGGACTTTTTGAAGTTGCTCTATCTCCAGCTTTTCCATCCCACTCGCCATTTACGTTTTCAGCGTTTTTCTTCGCGTGTCCTTCTCTCTCTTCCTCTCTCTTCCTTCCTCTATAGTACTCTATACCATTTCCCGCTTTGTCCCTTTTTACCGAGAATAAAAATCTTCAGGAGCTAAAAACTTTGCAGTCTCGAAGAACTAAATCGCGATCTTTGCGGTAGTCTGAACTCAAGTAGCTTCTTCGAAGCGCATTCATCTGCGCAGTAGTAACGAAAAAAAGAAACGTTTTAAACATCTAAAGTATTTCTGTGGAGTATAAAATACTAACGAGATATCGTCTTCGTCGATTTCAGCGAACCGGCCTTTGACGATCGAGGAGCTGAGGGATTCGATATCCTCCGAGTTGGAAGGCAACCCACCCCTATGGATCACCAGGAGACCGGGCAAGTACAGCGTGAATGTGTACATTAACAACGCAATGATCCTTTTGGAGCAGAGCAACTTCCAATCGAAATTGAAAGTCAACGGCGACACTATGACTCAAGTAAGTACTTCGATATATTATCACACGGTTATATTTTATTTACTTGTAAAACGTTAATGAGTCTTAAATGCCCGTTTATTATTTTTTAATGGTATCCAGAAGGAATTCTGTGCGCACGCGTTAGAATAAGCAAAAAATCTATAAATAAAAGAAATTGGGTTTGTATAAAAACTGTCGAATGCTCTTGTACATGTCGAAAGAAGCGCCGACTGCTGCTGTTGCACAAGAAGTATAAACAGACTGTTGCACAAGAAGTGTATAAACAGACGCTTGTTTCGCGACGGATTCGATAAATCGCGAGTTTATCACAATAATCGTTTTTTTATTCCCCTCGCGTCCGACCGCCACTTTTCTGACCGATTTCCCAACAGCCACTTCGATCGTGCGGATGGCGGCTTTCTAACGAGCTTTTAATGAGCTTTACACGCTCACCTTAGCCGCGAGACCATTAGGCTGATGGATATCGCGGGCCTCGATAATGTCGAACGGCGCTTCCTGGCATTCGCATTCTCTCGCGAGAGTCATCAGCTCCGGTTATCGATGGAACGTCCGACGCTTTCACGACTCCCTGCAAATTAAACCTGGTGTGTTAACGTCCGATTTATAATAATCAGCGCGCCGAACTGTAAGTTATTTGAGAATTCTGGGCAAACCAGTGCCGCTGTCATCAGTTGAACAGTTGAGCGAGAACTGCGCGGCGATTGAAATGCGAGTTTACTCGAGAAAATATAAATTTTCCTTCGGAATAAATTTAGAAATTTGAAATTGACGTGTTACACGATTTACAGATTTCTTTGGGAATCTCGCGTAAATCCGTTCCTTGAAAAGCTAACCGACGCAATTCGACGCGACGCGGTGTACCGTGTAGTGTTTTGCGCAAATACAGCCGAGGTGGATTTGTCGAAGATTCACGGGGACTCTATCAAGCCGGAATCTTTTTCAAATACCCGTAAATTCGTTGTCAATGGCGTAGTCCCCCTTTTCAGCGTTACCTCCTGGCTGATTTGGGTTTTCGGTCTCGCAGGCAAGGTATAGGATCTCATTTCAGGTTGCCAGACGAATCCTTTAATCTATAGTTAAAGTACCATCACCTGATGAAAATCGCACAGGACTAGCCGGGCTACGACTAATCCCTTCGACGAGCTCGCCTGCAGATCAATCTCTCCCTTGCCTCCCGGTATAATATTAGGGAAACTTTTCTCATCCACTTAACCCGCAAGTTCCATTGCCTCGGCTACTTCCTGCTCGTTACCAGCGTATGAAAATATCGGTCTATAAATCGCGTCTTTCCTCCCTACTTTTTAATAGATATGAGTTCAAACTAAGATAGAAACTACCGTTCTTTCTTTACCGCCGTAAAAAAATCGTGCATGCGTTAAATTAAAAGAAGAACGGTTCTATAATTTATTATTATTCAGAAAATAAGAGAGAACTGCGAAAACATAATATATATTTAGTTCAATTTCGAAACAGATAATTATAATATATGCCATCAGATTTAATTTAGATTTAATTCAGCTAAAATTACTTTGTTAATGTATTTATTACATGCAAATATCATGACAAGGATAACTGTGACGAGGAGCTAAATTATTGTGCGCCGCGAATTTGATGTAAAAACTATAATTTCCGTGTTATACATTCCGTGAGAATTAGTGATAATGATTGATTGTAACATTATCATTAATAATTGCGAGTGCGCCAATTAGTCACCGGATGGCGACGATACGCTGCAATAACTTACATTAACCATCCGTAATTATTAATTGCGCGATGATTCAATAATGCATGATTGATAGGTTGAGCTAGACGAAAGTGAAATAAACACAATCGATAGCCGCCAGTATACGATAGTTACAGCATCGAAACTGCAATGAGTAAGATTTCAAATCATAAGAGAGAGAAAGTTATATAAATCTGTTATAAAAAGTAATTTTTTGTAAAAAAATATTCTTAATAATTTAAAAACATTTTATTTTCAAAACTGCTATTATTAATAAGCAGTTAATTTCGCAATTTCATTATATTTTTTTCAAAAATCTGCTAATTACGTACAATTTTATACAGAAAGAACTTATAGCCTGTTATTATAACTTATTTTTTATAGTTATTATTATGTTAAGTTCTTGCAAAGTTGTGACATGTATCAATATTTAATTTTATAGAAAAATTATGTGCATTTTTATCCCGCAGACCCGCGGAGACATAAAAGTGTTGCAAACTCCTTTCCCGCGTATGTGACTATAATAGGAAATGTCTCAACAATAGAACGGGTCAGCGATCCGTTTTCAGTTGGCGCTCGCTCCCACGAGCGCGTTGCATATCTATCAACTGAAGAATAGATTTATGCGCATTGTCCCCTTACGTATATACCCGATAGACATACGTATTCCATTATCCGTCGTGTCTCAGATCGGAGCAGGGGGAGTCTCGTTTCGAGTTTTACAGAGAAATATTCCATCGAAATCTTATCCCTTATCGTGATGTGCTTTTTTTTATCGATTTGCGTCGCGCGGAATTACGCGAGATATCTCGTCATAACGTCGTGCGCCTTGTCAAATTTAAACTCGACCAATTCGGCACTGTCGTCACGGTGTTATATTCTCCTCGCGAGTTCCGCGCAAAACGTTCCCCGTCCGTCCGATACGTTGCAAACGCGCGTCGATTCCGCGCCGATCGCGTTGCAATTCAGCGAATGGCTCTCCCGTTCCTGTCCGTTCCGGCATTTTATGATTATGGACGCCGTATTTACGATACACCGGATTAGAAATATAGTCCGGGCTGATACGCATTTTAAGTCCGCCGTAAATAACTTAGAGTTAATTCCACCTTATACCTTATGCATCGGATTAATGTTTCATTGGCGAAAACGTGGCTCGCATTCTTTAATCCCGTTCGACTACGCGGACGATCCATTTTTAAGACGCTCGACTTCTCAATAGTCGTTATCTATCACGGTATATTTTTCGGGATTCGAAAGATCTAATTTCGATTCATAGCGAGATATTCGCGAGAGGTTCCGGCTGGCGTGCCCTTTTTTAGTTGCTTTATCGCGTCTTATTTTTCCGAAGATATGGATTTTACGACGTCTTAAGAAATCCTCTCCCGGAGCGTCGATTTCCTGACGGACGCGCAGGAAGTCGAGATAAAAGGGGAGAACGTGAGAAGGAGGAGAGTCATCCTCATCCCCGGAGTTATGGCCGGTTTTATTACGTCAGCCTGCTCGTAAGAACGAGAGGAATTCGAGAGGTTCCGATCCAATTTGGGAATATATTCGAAGATTTGTTGTCGTCCCCTCGGCCTGTCCCCGGAAGATACAATATATATTACTTCCTGTCGATCAAATGGTGTTCTATTCAGATTCGCGCGAGTAACAGAAAGCCCGCAGTCTCTCTGCACGAATCTCGTTACCGAATCCTCTCTCCTATAGGGAACTACAAAAATTGTTTCGCCCCGTCTTATTCGCAGACTTATTCTACAATCCGCGTTCGCAGTCTAATAAAATAGGAAATTTGCAGATCGCAATGGCGAACGTCGAATTTTAGCGAAGTTTGTCATGCTGCAAGGGAGAAAGGGGTGCACCCGCAGTTGCGCGAAGGACGGAAAAGCGAAAGAGAGAAAGAAGAGAGGGAGAGAGAGAGAGAGGCGATGTTTTTAATCTCAAAAGGCGATGTGGGTTTTGATCTCATTATACGTCCCTGGAACGCAGCTACCCCCTCGAGCGAGCTCCTCGTTCCTCCTGTTTTCTAACAATCTAAAGAAATTCCAGTCCGAATAACTACACCGACGCCGGCAGGATCGCCTAAAGAGTTACGGTTAATGGAGGGGAAAAATACCGGGGTGGAATGACGGGAAGAGTTGCCGTAAGAAAGAAAGAGAGACGGATAGGGGGAGAGAGAGAGAGAGGGAGAGAGAAGGGGAGACGCCGGGAGTACTTGAGTGCACCAGTGAAGCCAGTGGTGCAAGCAGTTTGTCCGCGAAGAGGAGAATTGAAAATCAGCCACCGCGAGAGGCGGGCCGGCGGGCGCTTGGCAGAATAGTTGCGAGAAAGGGATGAAGTTTTTCGCGGGATGGCGGGACGGGGTGGGGCCCGCGTGTTTCGTATCGGACTTTGCGGGAAATAAAGATGCCAGCCGCTCGGGAAGTTCATGTTGCTGTCGAGGGGAGAAATGCTCGTAAACCGACCAATAGCGAGAGCGTAAAAACACATATTAAAATAACCTTAAACGCGATAAAACTTGAA